AGCTGGTCCTGCCAATGCCAATAAATACAACACACTAAAAAAGAAACACACAAAACATGAAGACATTGTGGCTGACAGCACTGAATTTGTTTGCACTAAGAAAGATTGCATGTAGGCTCCTAGTCCTGCCCCTGGCTCACTAATCTTCTAGTGGCAAGTCACAGATGTGCAGGTGAGGGACAGTCACAGTCTCATCAGAGATGGTTTTTCGCCTTAGGGTGTGACTGCTTCACTTAGCCAAACAGCATTAAGCCAATTACCTTTGTTTGCTTTACAGAAGATGTAACAAGTCCCTAAGAGTGCCAAAAGTTCAAGGGGTTTGTTATTGAGCTACAAAACCACATACTTCCTCCAGCAGCCCTTCTCTAACCTGTGCTAGTCCTTTTGGAAGGTCATTACCAGGCATCCGGGTTTGCCGTTCACCATGGAGAAATGGGGTAAAACCCGGATTTTCTCATTTTAAGGAGAAAAACACAGATTCTCTTCTTTAAAGGATAAAAACACAGGAAATAGTGTGTTTCCCCTTGCAGGCTGGCAGAGTTGCAGCCTGCAAGAGGCTGCAGGGAGTGGGAAGAGGGCGGTCAGGTAGGAGGTACCATGTGCATATGCATGCATGTATATGCATGCATACAGCACACTTATACGATGGGGAACTCCCTACTTGAGAGCACGGAGGCGGAAAGGGATCTTGGTGTCATTATTGACTCCAAGATGAACATGGGCCGACAATGCGAGGTCATGGTTGGCAGGGCTAACCGGACCTTGTCGTGCATCCACAGGTGCATCTCGAGTAGAGCCAGGGAGGTGATCCTCCCCCTCTATGCGACGCTGGTCAGGCCGCAGCTGGAGTATTGTGTCCAGTTCTGTGCGCCCCATTTCAGGAGGGATGTGGACAACATGGAGAGGGTCCAGAGGAGGGCCACCCGCATGATCCGGGGACAACAGGGCAGACCCTACAGTGAGAGACTGCGGGACTTGAACCTATTCAGCCTCCACAAGAGAAGGCTGAGGGGGGACCTGGTGACCGTCTATAAACTCACTAGGGGGAACCAGAAGGGTTTGGGGGAGACGCTGTTTCCCCTAGCCCCTGCTGGCATAACAAGGAGTAATGGGCACAAGTTGATGGAGAGGAGGTACAGATTGGACATCCGAAAAAACTACTTCACAGTTAGGGCGGCTAGGAGCTGGAACCAACTTCCAAGGGAGGTGGTGCTGGCCCCTACCCTGGGGGTCTTTAAGAAGAGGCTGGATGCCTACCTGGCTGGACTCATTTGAGTCCCGTTTTTGTTTTTAGGGTTTTTTGTTGTTCTCCCGCCCTGGCGGGGGGGCGGGCTGGAAGATCTATTAGGTCCCTTCCGACCCTAAAACTATGAAACTATGAAACTATATATGCACATGGCCATCATGCAGCCTGGAGAGAAGCTCTAAGTCTGGTGGGGTGGGGGGATTGAGGCTGCCATAGTGAGGGAGGGAGTTAGGCAGGGCCCCTTGCCATGGTGATGTGTGGGGCTTGGAGCCTGGGGCTGGGGAGTGGGATGGAGCTGCAGGCAGTACATCCCTGGGGTGAGAGGGGCTGGCTCCCTGCTGCTGCGTGCACTTCTGGGGGTAGGGGGGGATGGGGAGCATGGGTGTGGGCTGCCCACTGTGGGCTCAGGCTCCCCGCCCTGCTGCCCTCCCCTGTGGCCTCCACAGCTCAGAGGTGGGACCTGACATGGCAGGGTAGAACAGGGTCGGGTGGGGAAGCTTGGTGCTGCCACTGTGAGCCCCACACCAACATGGCAAGGGACCCTCTGCCCACCCTGAAGCAGAAGGAGGCACAACCCCACATCATCAACCCTACTGCTTCTGGGCAGGCAGGGGGCACCTTGCCATGATGGCACTTGGCTCATGGTGGCAGCACTGAGCTTCTTCTCCCCGCTCTGCCCTGCCACTCTGGGTCCCACCCATTGGACCACAGGGTGGGACCCAGGGCAGCAGGGTGGGAAGCCCCAAGTACGCAGTGGGCAGCCCACACCTGCCCTTCCACCCCATGCCACCTGTGGAGGAGGGGGGACTGAGCTCCGCACTCTGCTCTGCTGCAACAGCCACTGCCTCTCACAGGGGGCAGTCGGGGCTCAAGCACTGTTGTGGAGGTAAAGGGGTTGTAGACCTGGGTCCCTGGCCCCATAGCCCTGGCAGCTGGGGGTCCCTCCAGGAGGACTGGAGGGTGGGGGGCTGTGGATGGTGAGCAAGGGGCACCGGCAGAGCTGGGGGGCTATGGGTGGGGAGTAAGGGGCACCAGCAGAGGTGGGGGGGCTGTGGGTGGGGAATGAGGGATTGTTGGGTTTTTAATCAGAGAATTTGCAATTTTTAAATGGAGAAAACCAGCGTCCTGTCATTATGACTTGTAGTTCAGTGGTTATTTAGAATTAGTGGTCTTAGGGTAGACAGCTTTCCCCCTGCTTTGCACCCTGACAACAGTGCAAAAGAGGAGTGGGAGTCAGAACTGGGGCCATGGCTTTCTGATTCTAGCATATACAAGAGAAAGGGATATTCACTGTTTAACTGCATGAACTAAGGTGTGCCTAGCTTTATGCACAATCAAAACCTCCTTTTTTATTAGTGAAAGGAATTCTTATTTATACTATTTATATAGTGTTAGACTTTACCTGCCACTTGACAAATATCCAAAAAGACCCAAGAATTACCCAAGAACCTTAGGCCTAGACTTAAGCTTAAGCTAATGTGGGATTTAAGTCACTAAGGATAAATTGATTTGTCCACAACCCCCAGCTAGCATGAAGTCCACAAGTGCCTCACTGCTGGACATAAATTCTGCTTCTGCTCAGGCTGCGAAGTGCCTTGACCTTTCAAGGCTGAGCAGCCCAGGGCCTCCCTCACACCCAGAATGCTTCTGGATCATGCTCTTTCTCTCTCAGTTAATTCCTCCATGCAAAACTGAAGAGCTTCAGAAAACAGTGAGAGAATCCTCATTACAGCCACCACCTAAAATAGCTAATTATAGCATGCTACTGGGAGACAAGAGATAGGCTTTGCATTGCCTTGGGCATTGGTGTTGAACTAGGGGCTCCTATATCTCAAGTGAATGCTGTGACCACTGAGTTCTTATATACAAGGGAGGCACTTCCTTCTTTGGCCATGTTGAAAGAGAAGAGAGGAAAGCCTAAGGGCATACTTTCAGGAGAGGTTTCAAGCCTGTGACTCTAGGTAGCATGAGACGCTTTCCAGAAGAATAAGGTACTTAAGCCCCAGAGAAGCATGGGACTTAAGACATCACTCCCCACTCAGCAGGGTCGGGGCTTGTGGATCCTGTTCTAGGACACCCAACTCTCCCTATGCACTGCTAAAGTGAACCTACTTAACAATTTCTTTGCCTGCATTTTTCTGAGCAGGGAGCAGGTCACTCCCCGCAGTGGGACCCCGTAGGCCCCATGGGAGGCACACCCAGGCCTAGGGTCAGTGAGGACCTAGTCAGGGAACTTCTGGAGGGACTGGACATATTTAAATCAGCAGGTCCTGACGATCTCCACCCCAGAGTGCTGAGGGAATTAGCAGAGGTCATTGAGGGACCCCTGGCACAGCTCTATGAGCACTCATGGTGCTCTGGCGATGTGCCAGAGGACTGGAAAAGGGCCAGTGCAGTCCCCATTTTCAAAAAAGGGAGGAGGGAGGACTCAGGAAACTATAAGCCAATTAGTCCAGCTTACCTTGGTCCTGGGTAAGCTTTTTGAGAGAATTATCCTGGCGCAAGTCCACAAGGGGCCAGCAGGGGAGATTATGCTTAGGGGCAACCAACATGGGTTCATTAGAGGCAGGTCCTGTCAGACCAACCTGGTGGCCTTCTATGACCAGGTCACAAAATCCTT